ACTAAACCTACACCTCCATGACAGAAAAACCTACAAAAACCGTCGCAGACCGGAAAACAACGACACAGGAAAATGACGACAGTGCCAATTTCACGGGGAAGCACCGAAGGCTGAGCGATTGCAACATCGAGCGGAGAGAACAAGAAGAAGAGGGCGACAATGTCGAAGCAAAAAGGACCGCGCAGACGCCAAGCGTACGGTCGTGACGGTAGACTTGCCAAAACGACACAGCAAGAAGGCTCAACGAACAAGAAAAACAGGGCGACAAAGTAGAAGCACAAAGGACTGTTTCAGGCCTGCCAAATGGGATCCCAACTGCTCCCATCATAAGTTAAGGGTCACAGAAAAACAGGGCAAGATGATGATCGTGAAGGCAGTTTCAGTTACCAGAGCTGCCGAGTCTCATATATGTACAAGGGGTGACGGGGTAATTGCAGAAATAGCACGTTTTGGATTTTATTTTTATTTTTTATTTTTTATATTTTTTTTGGGTTTTGGAAGTCTTGCAGCAGATTCTGAGCAGAAAGAAATGTTGTGCAAGCAAAGTGGGACTCTCTGGTCTCTGGCCGCAAACATTTTTGCTGCGAAACTACCAGGACCTCTAAAGCTGCAACAAAGGTTATACTTTTGCGACCAAAAGGGGGGGGGGGGAATCTTTTTGCTGTCAAGCGCCGAAACCGCACGGAGGGCAGCGGAATCTGCATCTATTCTTGCGGAGGGCCTGAGGAATCTTGCAAAGGGTAAGAATATNCTTGCGGAGGGCCTGAGGAATCTTGCAAAGGGTAAGAATATTCGCATGCGGGCAATATTTTTGCTGTCAAGCGCCGAAACCGCACGGAGGGCAGCAGAATCTGCGTCTATATGCGGGAACGGGAGGAGGAAGGGACTCCGCCACTACGGACAAACCCGTTACACAGGGGCATTCTGCTGTGCACGACACCAAAAATGATACAGGCTCTGTATGACTGTCCCGCTGGCGACCGAACATAGCAATTTTGGACTGTTGTAGGCACGAAGTTGCGTTTTTTGGCCACCTGTGGAGGTTTTTCTTTTTTTTTTTCTTTTTTTTTTGTTTTTACCAAAATCAAATGCCATTTTGCGAGGACCTCTAGAGGTCCTCGCAATTTGCTGAACCCGGCGGCCCACCAGGGGGATAATCGGTAGAAGGCGCCCACGCCAAAACCTTTTCTTTTTTTTTCTTTTTCTTTTTTTTTTTTTTTTTTTTTTTTTTTTGGGGGGGGAGAAAACAGTCTCCACATTATATTGCAAAACGAACACAGGGGGCCCGGGAATTACCCCACATAACAACCCGGATATAACAGGAACATGCTCGGGCCCTTACCCAGCTGTAGGCTTGCGAGATCTAGGCCCTGTGCCTGAACAAAGTGGCTCTCCCAAAAATGAAAAAAAGAGGAATAAAGGATGGGACCAACATCCCAGCCAAACCTTGACTTCTAGAGAGGTTTTGGATCTTAACGTGCTAAAGCTGAAGTTCCTGCCTATTCATGGTGGGGAGCTAAATCGCTCCCCGTGGCCCGTGGGGGAGAGCAGCCAGGGTGCTACACTGACCCTACCTAACGGGTTCAGTTTGGCTAATCTGGACTCTCTCCCCCACGTGTCACAAAACCATTTCCTGCAGTTTTCTCTCTTACCGTTCAATGTTTTACGGCACCAGTCACCTTGGATCGTCGTTCTGATATCTAAGGCTATCCTGTTTTTAATAGCCAAATCAGACATAAATTGCCTTTTAAACAACTGGTTATTTCTGTCATCCCAGATCACTTTCATAATAATCGCTCTTACTGCCTGGGCAACGTATAGCCAGTTGCTTTCCTGTTCATCCGACGCCCTATGAATACCAGACACAATCCATTCATCCGACCACTCAAATTCACCCTTTGTAATACGGTTCCAGTGGTAAATCCACCAGTCCCATATCCGCCTGGATGCCGGACATGTCAACCATAGATGTCTATTCGTTTCCCAAAACCATCCACATCGTGTACAACTGGCCGGGATGTCCATCCCTTTGTTGACCAAGTTAACTGCTGTTGCTGTTGCCAGAAATAATTGAAGCCACAGCATGCTGGCCAATCTTTGAGATGGCAATGCTTTACATTGTCTGAACATTGAATGCAGATCTTCTTTTTGACACGCTCTTCAAGTCTTGTTTTTTTCTGCGGCTTTCAATTACTGTTGTAGGCCTTTTTTCCCTTTCGCTCTCTGTATTTCTGTTCCCTTTTTCGAATTATACAGGTCCAGAGGTATCACTCTTGCCTCTTTCTCACTCCACCAACCAATTCCCCTTACATCCACTGACGCCGCACGAAGGGGGGTTAACCCTGTAGGAAGGTTCACCTTGTGTATCAGTGTACCACCAGCCGGCGCCTTCTGTATCTTCACCCTCGTCACTATCTCCTCTACGTCCTTCAGCTGAAGAACTCTCACTGTTCCCCCTCTTTCCAGTTCCTTACTAAACCCAAAGTCTGGTGGCTTGTTCCATTCTGTCGCTACAAACCCCTCTTCCCCCAAATCATGCGTGATCTGGAGGATTCCATCAGTAACCCCCTTGCTGCTGCACCAGAGCCCTGAACTTGGAATCTCCATACCCTTTTGTAACAGTTGGAGCCAAGAGTGAGGAATCGCATGGTGGATATCTGTAAGTCTTTCTGGGATTTTTCTGAGTCTTCCCAGTTTTTCCTTTACCTCTTCCACAGATTTCCACCTCAGATTTATGGGACGCCAAAACCTTTTCGGTTTTGGCCGCCCAAAGTTTAGCCGTTTGGTACTACCGGTCCAATGACTTGCATCTGGGGTACTACCGGCCCACACGTGGCTCCAAGGGTCCTACAGGATCATGAATCTGGCGCGCCAGATTCATTTTCATGTAAAAGAGGGGGTGGTACGCTGAAGTATCGAATGAGGCCCACTTACGCTATTTTGAAAAAGAAGGGCCCTACGGGTTCATGAATCTGGCGCAGAAACAGAGCCAAATTCTTGAACCGGTAAAAACAGGCCCAGGGAGATTTGGCCACGCCGCCTTCACCCAGGCGAAAGTTGTTTGGGCCGGTAGTACCAAACGGCCAAACTTTGGGCGGCCAAAACCGAAAAGGTTTTGGCGTGGGCTCTTTCTACCAATTATCCCCCCACCAGGCCCACCAGGGCGCTCGGAAACTGTGGCTGAGTGTTGTTTGTGAGGAATTTCTGGCCTCCTGATTCTTCGCCCCCCCCCAAAAAAAAAAGAATGTGGGACTGCAAAACGTCATCAGATTTGGCGACTTCGAGAATTTGACCCCTAGTTTGATTATGATTATCACTATTTGTAATATCCTTCATGATGACAGTGATGATGATTCTCATCATTAACTTATTACTATTGCTGCTGCAGTTACTGAACTCACTGTTCGCATTATTATCAGATATCAGATGTTTTGCGGCTATCTCAGCATCTGATTGAATTTAGTGTGAGGTGAAATTGAGAGAAGAGTATAGCTTTATAAAAAAATAAAAATAAAAAAATTTATACATCCTCAAGGTAACCCCACGGTCCAGCGATTGCACGTCGTGGAACAAAGGGATCAACTTGACTAGAGCATCCAACGGCCTGTACTGCTCTCAGCCCATCGCATGTCAGGTCTTGGCATCTTCGCATGCCTCTAAGTAAGTACCTCCCCATTACCGTATTCCTCAGATCTCTCTCTCCCTCTCTCTCTCTCTCTCTCTCTCTCTCTCTCTCTCTCTCTCTCTCTCTCTCTCTCTCTCGCACACACACACACACACACACACACACACAGAGTAGAATGTCCTGGCTGTACGTGACCGTAATTCTTCCTAGATTCGGCCGAAACACTCCCAATATCCAGTTAGGTCCTGTTGTAATCAACCGTGGCTCCATAGAAAGCACGGTACTACAAACACGCGCACTTCGACAATAGCAGACACGCACACACGCAAAAAACGCGGAGCAAGAGAGAGAGAGGGGCAGGCGCAAAGGCAAGAGGCCCGAAAAACAAAAAATAATAATAAATAAAAACAAGGGGAGAGGCTGGGCTAAAGCCTTAAACAATGGTTGGTTTGGAATTTTCAATACTCAGACAGGAAGGTGTAGAGTAGGAGATTGAAGGAGGGTAGAAGGAGATTGAAGGAGTACCGAAGGATGGACATTCAACGGTACAGTAGTCTAGGCTGAATGACAAAGCGTGAGAAAAAGATTGAGATAGTCTTTAAGCAATTTGGTCCTCAGTTCTGCTGGGGCCGTAATCGAAACTGGCTGATGCTGCCAGGATAACTCCGGGTAGAATTGTGAGGTCACCGGCCTCTTTTCACCTGTTGTTAATATAATTCGGCATGGCTTTTCATATTAAAAAAAAAAAAAAAAAGGAAAAAAAAAAAAGCCTTAAACAAAACCAGCGTCCGGAAATCGTTTTGGTCCTTCGGGACATCCGCTAAAATTGGAACGATTCAGAGAAGGGTAAATTAGTAAATGGCCTCTGCGCAAGGATGACACGCATAAATCGAGAAATCGTTTTGTACGACAATTTATAACGAATATTCATAACGAAAAACGTTTTTACCTTTTTAACAAATGTCGTAAAGCAGAATAAAGAAAGATCATGAAAAAAAAAGCCAAAAAAAAAAAAAAAAAAGACCATGGATATGCTTCTGGACCCGTAATCATTCATCGAAATAAACAGAATGCAAACACGTTTTCCGTGAAGTCAGGACGCGCACTGTGCTCGACGCGTGTCGACCGGCGCCTGTGCGCCGATCATTCTCAGGGGGCTATTTGCCCCCCCTCCCCCCCCAAGCCTTGAGGTTTTCCTTTTTTTTTCTTTTTTTTTTCAAAGGCTAATTCTTTAAGCCCAACCAATTCAATTACCTGTCAAATCTGGACAGGCTTTCCATACCGTCATGTCTCACCTGCACAGTTAATTAATTGACGGTGGTAATACATGCTCACCGATTTTCGAGGTCAAAGTACAGAATTATTCCGTTTGTCACTAAGTCACTTAGCTTTATTTCGATATTTGCCTATAACTCGAATCCGCTTTTTTTTTCCGCTGAACTCGAATCCACTTGTAGCCTAAATCCAATCCTTTTGTAGCTTAACTCGAATCCGCTTGTAGCTTGAGTCGAATCCGCTTGTAGCAAAACTCCAATCCGCTTGTAGCTTGACTCGAATCCGATTGTAGCTTAGCTCCGTTCCGTTTGGCGATTAACTCCAGTCGTTCGGACTTCGACTACAGTCCGTTAAGCACCGTCGGTAACTCGAATAAGATTGTAGCTCAACTCGAATCCGTTTGTAGCTTAACTCCGTTCCGTTTGGCGATTAACTCCAGTCATTCGGACTTGGACTACAGTCCGTTCAGCACCGTCTACCGACCGTTTGGAGGCTAACTCAAGTCCGTTTGGAGGGTAACTCCAGTCCGTTTGGCGCTTGACTCCACTCCGTTTGACCCTTAACTCCAGTCGTTCGGACAACGACTACAGTCCGTTTAGCACCGTCGGTGACTCGAATCCGATTGTAGCTTAACTCGAATCCGTTTGTAGCTTAACTCCGTTCCGTCTGGCGATTAACTCCAGTCATTCGGACTTGGACTACAGTTCGTTCAGCACCGTCTACCGACCGTTTGGAGGCTAACTCCAGTCCGTTTGGAGGGTAACTCCAGTTCGTTTAGAGGGTAACTCCAGTCCGTTTGGCGCTTGACTCCACTCCGTTTGTCCGTTAACTCCAGTCGTTCGGACAACGACCACAGTCCGTTTAGCACCGTCGGTAACTCGAATCCGATTGTAGCTCAACTCGAATCCGTTTGTACCTTAACTCCGTTCCGTGTGGCGATTAACTCCAGTCATTCGGACTTGGACTACAATCCGTTCAGCACCGTCTACCGACCGTTTGGAGCGTAACTCCAGTACGTTTACCGGACAAGTCCAGTCCGTTTGGCGCTTGACTCCACACCGTTTGTACCCTAACTCCGATAAAGACATAGCCAGCAACTAGTGTGGTGACAAGACGCTCTTATTACTAAGTAACTAATTGTCTTTTTCTAATTTCCAGACAAACACCGTAAAATTCGAGTAAAAACAGAAAGGGCATCAAGCATTGCCCACGGTAGAGAGGGCAAACACGCACCGTTCTATGAAACCAAATACAGACTGTGGAGAAGGGAACGTGGAGGCGCTGCCAGAAAAGCACGCCAGCAAAGACAAAAGCCCTAAAAGCCGGCAAAAGGGACGTCATAGCACTTTTCATTTTTATTAGACCAGCGCAACCGGGCAGCCAGGTCATTAAGAAGAAGCTAGATGGCAGCGTGAACACACCGCCATATCTATCTCTATGTCAACAAAGCCGGTGGGGGGGTACCGGCAAAACCACGCCGTAGGAGTGCTAGGTCGACATAGCCTGCCAGCAAAACCACGCCACAAGCGGTGCTATGCCAGCATAGTCTCCCAGCAAACGACTGCACGTAGTGCTATGTGAATCAATCAATCCTTCCTGGGCTGCCACATGCTCAACAGCAATGCCCCACCGAACTGGCGTAGGCAGCAAAGAGGGACAGGAACCATTATTACGAATAAAAGGATGGGGACACAAATGCTCGAAAAAAAAAAAAAAAAAAAAAAAAAAAGACTCGAAGCTGATTGGCCACCCATCAAGGAACGATTCAAGGCCAGCGAATGCGTGAAAGAGAGAAAAGACCGCTCTAGACGGCATGAGAGGATGCAGAGCGGACTGAATGTCTAATATTCTGAGAAAATACTTCGACGCAGCGGCGAATCAGAGATAAGACGTAGCAATTTCAATCGCATAAAGATGGCACCTTGAACACACTACGAGTCTTCACTTCACTTGAAGGAGATGCCATAGACGGACAAACTCAGCAACACAAAGACGATGACACGAGAGCTAATGGAGGAAGCAGATAGACTCCCCCACACACACAGAGAGAGAGAGAGAGAGAGAGAGAGAGAGAGAGAGAGAGAGAGAGAGAGAGAGAGAGAGAGAGGAATCCAGAGCCGAAGGCGGATGCCGACCACAACCCCGCGCGCCAGGTTCCGACCACTCCACCGCGCGGTGCCGACCACGCGCGCCACCATTGAGTCAGCTTATCTGATTGCCTCATCTGCTTCAGCTCTCGATATTCTCGACTGATACTAAAACAACTCCATCTCTCGTTGCCTAACCTCCCCCACCTCCGCCTCCTCCTCCCCTCCCCTCCCCCTCATCTGGTTTACAGTCAGCCGACCTCACCGCCTTCCCCCTTCTCCGTCTTCCCCCTCCCCTTCCCCTTACTCGGTTTACCCTCAGCGGCAGAACTCATCAAGAAGACGGCAGAGCCATGGACGCTATGGAACAGGCTAGCATCATCTTTTCGTCAATCGCCTCTGTGATAAGGACCCCATCCACGAGATGCACGATGGCGTTCTCCATGACGATCGCCTCAGGTCCTATGATGTGCACTTCACTGATGGCACTGATCAGGGTGATCGACGACGTCGCGCTGTCAAAAGTTACTTCAATCACAGATCCATCGGCTGGTGTCACTTCTTTCGTCTCCGTCAAATTCCAGACGGTATGGAAAGTGCCGTTGATAACCGTATGCTTGAGGCTCTCCTTGAGAGCAGCTTTCCCGGCCTTTCCCGTAGTCAGGCAGTCCCACGAAACCGCCCCCGTAACCGCCTCGTTGACGGCATAATCGACCGGGGCGAAGATGGTCACCGGCTTGTCGTTCACGAGGGTAATCAGCTGTTTGGAGTACCCAGTTGCGACTAAGGCCTGATGAAAGAGCGTCAGATTCTGATTGGCCTTGATTGCCTTCATGAGGTCATTTCCAGGGTCTCCATGGACAAGCACCGGAGAAACGACTAGCAAGAACGCGAAACCGGCCACCATAGCCGCCGCCATAGCCGCCGCCATCTCTCCCTCTCGATGTATACTCGTGTCGACAGCGATGTTCTCCTCCCTCCCCTTTCTCGATCTCCCTTTCCCCCACCGATGGTCGACAAAACCTGCACCTTCCACTTGAGCGCACTGCGATTGCCGCCCTCGTCCCTTTCTCGCAGCTCCAGCAACGACGCGCGCGGACTGTGATTGCCGCCCTCACCCCTTTGTCGAGCTCCCCCTCTTCCGCCACCTCTTCTGCCAAATGATCGCCAAAATCTATCTGCAGCCACGAAGTGCCTCGTTTTGTAGACGCCGCCCTGGTTTGCGCCGAACTGCGCCGATCAAACTTCGCACTTGAGATTGCGGSGGCGAATGCGCGCGGCCCTCGTTTTTTTTTTTTTTTTTTCGTTTTGTAAATGTCAGAAATGGTCCGCGCACCTAAAATAAATAAATAAGTAAAAAAAGAAAAAAGAAAAAAAGATCGCTCCTTTTTCCCGCGTAATAAAAAAGCAAAAAAGCAAAAACAAAATAATGCATGCTTCCATGCTCGACTCTGGCGGAATAAAACGGTAGGGGGTCATTAGAGCCGTATGTGGCTCCCCTTGCTGTCCAGATCCAGCCAAAATGACCGTACGTTATATCGGATCTAGACTCAATTGCAGCCGGGTGCATTCCGGGTAAAATTTTCTTTTTTGGGAAAAGCGGGTGCATTCAGTAGTACAGTGCCATCGTTGACTGCTCCCACGCGTGCGTCACGCGTGCGTCACACCGGGCGTGGTCCCAATAGCAAAGAGGATCGGATCGCATGCCTGCATCTGGACGTTGTTTGAGGACAGGTGCAGGAAATCGAGAATGAACTGCTTTTCTCCATCTCTGCGTAAAACACATCCAGATTCAGGAATTCCATCATATCCTCTTTACTAGTGGGACCTCGGCCATGGCCTCGCAGCTCTCCCCACACGAAAGCTGAAAGAGCCGGAGGGTTGGGGATTATAGACCCAACCACCCAAAATTGCGCTCTTATAGCAAAGTGGCCAGTAAGGGCACTGTGCACAGTCGAACAGCAGCCATGGATAGCCCTGGCACAACATTCCCTCGCCAAGGACTGGCAACTATCTGATCCGGGGCCAAGTCCCACTCACACTGATCCTTGATTTCTGGTCGTTGATCCTCGAAATCTGCGGTCAGAAATCAATCATTCAGGTAAGTGGGACTTGGCCCCCGGAAGCAGTCTGGCATGCCTTGCTAATGCAACCTTTCATCTCCCGACCAGTAGTAAACAGAACCTGGAATAATCTTCTAAAGGCCTAGGGGAAAATGCTCCCCCAAGTCCTCGAAGACCCGACAACTAGAGAAGAAGTGCTGCATTTTCGAAAACAACTCTATCCGTAATGAGTCCGGACTTCCCTTCTCGGTAGCCAGAGCACCGGGCAATTTCGGCCTCAAGTGGATGCAACGCGGTATCTGGCTCATTCAGCATATCTGGGACAAAGAACGATGCCATTGGAAAACTGCACGCCACCTCAGACAACATTTGGTGGGACTGCACCACACTGAAGAACACCTCAGGGAAATTATTGCAGCAATTCCTCCTACCTGGGTGACTATACTGACGGAGCCAGTGGATACAAGGAGAATCAATGGTTCAAATCCCCCGCCTCCCCACACCTCTTCTTGGCGGCCTCGGAATGGACTCTGCAGGACACCAAATTGAGACAAACCAGGGAAGCTCAGGAGATCTCTCCCGCTGATATGGACGAGATACGGATTCGACAGAAGAAAGATACACAACGAGGTTCCTCATTTCAGATCATCATGGAGGCGGTCCCCCTAAAGGACTGGAAGGTTGACATCTGTAGATACGGCTGGGAAGTAACTGGTCCCGATAACTCAACTACCAAGATCCCTCTCTCAGACTACTCAGCTAAAACTGTTTATAACTTCCTCTCAAAACCCCAAACCCTCCAATCATGTCTCCTCATAAGATGGCAAAACAGGGTCTCTTCTCTCAAACTTAAACCACTCCAACCCAAATGGATCCTTTTTTATATCCAACTCCTCCTTTCCTCCCTGGAATCCAAAGTGGGTGGCCTACAGTGGTTACACCTCCACTCATGTACTCCTACTGCAATGTGGTGCTCTGAAAAGGGTATGAATGTCTCCGTTTTCTGCAACGCATGTTCCCACCCCTCCCTGGAAGACTGGCTTCATCTCTGGTGGGAATGTGTCATTGCTAGAGGCTTTTGGGACGAGCTGAACTCTTGGTGGTCCAGGGCTTACACTGTGGTGGACTTCTGGAATCAGGACTTCGTGGTGACAGGCAGATTCAATCCTATTTTCAACAAACTACAGCTAAGCGAGGTAGCTCACTGCTTCAGGAAGAAAAGAAAAAAAAAGCTCACTGCTTCAGGAAACGAGCATTCTGGAATCTGTGGCTGGCAAGAAGAGACAGACGATTGCTCAATGATAACTCTCCCCTCCCCTCCCTGCTGGCACAGTTCAAGCAGGCTCTCCGTCTAGATATCACAGCAGACTGGATAAGCATTAAGAAATCTTAATCATCAATGGATATAGCTAAGATCTATTTTTCAACAGAAATGGTCCTCCCCATATAAATGGGCGGACTTATCAGCAAACAACACGCTTTTCTACTCAGACCTGCTATGGAGTCATCCTAGAGGCAATAGCTAATCTACTTCCAGCTCTAAATACCTCTCTTCCGCTTTCTAGTCTAATCCCTACTAGGTCACTCTGCTCGGGTCTTCCCACTCATGGTGTAAAGGTTATTCAAAGACAGACATCTACATCAGATTCTACCTCAGAGTTCTCAGTAATAAGCAAAACCGGGTAATGTTCCCGGCATTGGGTTCTATATTTTTCCGGGTAGAAAGTAGGGACCCCGGTCTCAGGTTCACGAAAACGGGACGCTGGATAAAGTGGCTATTTACTGTCTCATTTCTTAGGACTAGCGGGCATATCTATGTTTGCTGCTTATAAGGCTAGCAAGGCACTTCAAACAGGCAAACGTATGGTTGCGAGGTCTGAGAGTAGGTTTCACAGAGACTCGATATTATTAATGGGTAATTACCAAAAAAAAAAAAAAAGAAGCTGAAAGAGAAAAAAGAAGAGCCTTCTCGAAAGAAAGAAAAAAAAACACAAAAAAAAACAGTGCGGCTTGAGGCATCACCACGTGAAAGGGGGCCAATATGCATCCGCCACTGGTTTTTGCATCTGGCCTCCTTCTGCCATTGAGATACGTACGCCTCTCCTGGTCATTTCCACGCGACGGGTGTATATTTCCTCGTTTTTTTTTTTTTTTTTTTTTCCCCATACAACGATGCTCCAGTCTATATTAGTGGCGAGCTGCACATGTTGGGAATCGGCCCCAACGTCCCTGTGAGACATATCCATAGGCCGGGGTCCTCACAGTATACCCGGAAATAAGAATACAAAACCTCTTTGGCAGAGGAGACGGTTAAAACTAACGTTTCTTTTTTTTTTTTTTTTTTTTTTTCAAAAACAAGCTCCATCTACTGCCAAATTTTTTTTTTTCAAAAACAAGCACCTGCTGGAAACTGGGTCCAGCGTCCCATAGATACAACCATATCCTCACAAATTGGCACAAACTGGGAACCGGCCCCAGCGTCCCATAACGAGTACGTTTAGAAAACTCTTCAGAAAATTTCATGAAAATGAGACTAAGAACTACTAGAAAACGAAACTAGACTGCCTACTATCCTAAATTCCCCCTTCCAACAGATGGGGCGTCAGTCCAGGCTCTCAGTCCTCGTACCAGAGCTCACTTGATCTCATACCCCCTTCTGCTAGGGTAACAGGACTCCACAACCCTCCCCAGTACCGATCAACCTAGCTCGGATGGACAGGAAGTGCCTTCCTCCCTCGACAATTCCCTTAGCAGCAAGCCCCTAAGCAGGTTACAGAGTCAATACCCCGACACCAACTACGTCGAGCGATCTGGTTATGCCTTCCACCCACGGCATAACTTCACACGCCTCAGTCTCCCCCTGGCTTACAGAGCAAGGCTCCAGCACCGGCCTGTGTCGTCCTAGCATCGTCCTTCTAACCTACTTACCTTAACAAACGACCTTTTTTCTGTTGAAAATCCCCTTTCTTCCTTCCTTCCTTCAATTCTAGTTTCCCCCCCACTTCGGCTCACTGTGTAACCATCGAAGTCACTCCTTCCCTCAAAAAACAAAATCCTAACACACTGCTATAAGCAGGCACCCCCTTGCCTTCTCTCCCCACCCGCCAGTACTGATCCAACCCTAAATCAGTCTAGCTAAGAGACAACAATCCCCCAATCCCGCCTCCCCCCTCCAAGAATAACACCTCCGGCCTTGTGAAACCCTCACGGGGGGAGGCTCCAACCCTCAAGGAAGACCCCACAAATATACACAGCAAACCACAATTGTACCCCTCAAGACCAGGAAGTTGAGATTAGCAAATAGAGAAAGTCAATCCGAATCAAAATTTACCACACGGTATTATGATTAGCAACCATAGGGTTTTTTGAAAAATACTTCAGAAGCCTACTTTTAGGCATCCAAGATCAGAAACGAGTTTGTATCAAAAGTCAAGACCATAAGATCAATGATAAGGAAAGCTACTGAGTGACAAAATTTACGAGAAATTATACGAAATTTAGGTTTAGATATCCATAAAGGATTTTCGAATCAGATTCTCAAACCGCGGGTTGAGAAACGTTTAGCAAAGATGTATGACACAAAAAAGTTTAAGAAATTATTTTCAAGAAACCATATTATCAGAAGGAACCACCAACAGAAAACACTGTATCAGATCGTCATCATAAGAAAGAATATCCAGATTTACAACATAGAAAAAAAAAGTGAGTGATACACCTACAAAAATCAAATCAGAAATTCAGAATATAGAAGACAAAATTTGAAAAACCTAATTAGATCATCATCATTTGGTGAGCATCAAGGATTACGACATGCGGACTTTAGGAATCAAGAGAGAAAGGGCAAACAGGCAATACAAAGTCAACCAATCAAAAAAACTATTGAAAACGAAACCCTGAGATCATATTGACACGCAACCTTCTTCACCCGCAGCAAGCTTCACATGAGATGGCGATGTCCTCCTTCCTCCTTGAAGCGTTATT